TTCTCACTAAGGATTGCTTTGGCTATTCTGGGCCTCTTATTTTTCCAAATGAATCTCATGACTGCTTTTTCTGTTTTTGTGAAGAAGACCATTGGAATTTTAATGGGAATTGCATTAAATATGTATAGCACTTTGGTAGTATGGCCATTTTTGCAATATTAATCCTGTCTCTCCAAGAACATGGGAGATCTTTCTTTCAATTTTCTAAGGTCATCTTCAATTTCTTTGTTTAGTGTTCTGTAGTTTTAAATGTAGAGGTATTTTGCCTCGTTTGTTACCTTGATTCTCAAGTGTTTTCTTTCTTTCTTTCTTTCTTTCTTTCTTTTTTTTTTTAAGTCTATTGTGAATGGGATAGTTTTTTTCTGATTTCTCTTTAAGTTAATTCGTCATTGGTGTTTAAGAATGCAGTTGATTTATGGGTGTTAATTTTCCATCTTGTTACTTTGTTGAATTCATTTATGAGTTCAAGAAACTTTCTGGTGAAGGTTTTTGGGTTTTCTAAATGTATTATCATGTCCTCAGCAACTAGGGATAATTTGATCTCTTCTTTTCCTATTTGTATCCTTAATCTCTTTCTTTTGTCTAATTGCTCTGTCGAGAGTTTTAAGGACTATGTTGAATAGAAGTGGTGAAAATGGGCATCTCTGTCATTTTCCAGTTTTTAGAAGGAATGCTTCCAATTTTTTCTCCATTTAGAATGATGTCGGCCTTGGGTTTAACATAGATAGCTTTTACAATGTTGAGGTATGTTCCTACTATCCCTAGTTTTTCTAGTGTTGTGAACATGAATGGATGCTGTATTTTGTCCAGTGCTTTTTTCTGCATCTATTAATGTATTTCTGTGATTCTTGTCTTAAAGTCTGTTGATGTTATGAATTACATTTATTGATTTCCATATGTTGCACCAAACTTGCATCCTTGGAATGAACCCCACCTGATCATGGTGCATTATCTTTTATGCACATTGCCAGGATTTTATTAAGAATTTTGTATCTATGTTCAAGAGGGATAGTGGTCTGGATTTTTTTTTCCTTGATGTGTCTTTGTCTGGTTTTGGTATCAATGTTTTACTAGCTTCATAGAATGAGTTTGGAAAGGTTCCCTCCTTTTCTATTTCAAGGAATAATTTGAGAAGTATTGGTGTGAGTCCTTCTCTGAAGGTCTGGTAGATTTCTGCCAAGATTCCATCTGGTCCTGGGCTTTACTTTGTTGGTAGGCTTTTTTATGTCATCTTCCATTTCTTTGCTTGAAATTATCTGTTTAAATTTTTTGTTTTATATTCTTTAATTTAGCCCTGATTATGTACAACTATGAATCTTCTTTGCCCTTCCTGACTTCTGCCTTCTTCCCTTCTTTCCTCCCTACTTTCTTTTGTTCCTTCTTCTTAGAAATATTTATAGATCCTTATTATATATTTTGTTGTGGGGGTTAGATGTCTGGAATACTCAGTGACAGAACATTTTAAAATTAACTTTATAGAACATTATTCTAGGATGATAAGATAGTAAGTAATCAAAAGATAATAATAAGAAAGTATTTAATGCTAACTAGCATGTTGGACATTTGTAGGTGCAAAGAAAAACTAGATTAGAGAAAGTAGGGTGAAGAATGAGGAGGAACACAGAGAGCTTTTGGAGGGCTGGAGTTCTTTGGGGTCTTCTATAAGTTGAGGCTCACTCAGATATTGCAGCTTGGAAACAGACTAGAGAGGAACACGCATATCAGCAAAGAGATGTGTCAGACTACTGTAATAATCCAATAAAGAGGCAATTATGGTTTCAGCCATACTAGTAATAGTGAAAGTTCTAGAAATGGTAAAATTCTAAATATATTTTGAACAGTTTTCTTTGATGGGTGGAACTGAAGAAACAGAAAAGACTTTTGGTCTGAGCAGTTGAAGGGATAGTGTTGCAATCAATTAGAATAATGAAGGTTATGAGAAGCACCTGCTTTTAGAAGATATGGAATTCCATTTGGACACTCAACTTTGTTATATCCATAGGCAGTCAAATGAAGAACTCAAGAAAGTAGTTGGATCTACAAGCATGTGAATACTGATTTTGTGTTTTCAACATATAAATGGTCATTTATAGCTCATGAGACTGGATTAAATAGCTAGGGAAGGAGTATAGATGAAGAAATCAAGAGAACCAGTGACTGGTCCATTAGTCAACCATCAGAAGATAGAAACCATCTCAAGTAAAAGAAATTCAAATAATGAGGTGTAGCAGGAGTCAAAAGAAAAGGATATACCTGTAGGGGTTCTGTGTTTGGGATTGTAGTCTGGGATAGCTTCATAACTGTGATATGCTTGGTGGCTAAGAAAGTTTCTGTGCAAAGACACAGAATGCCTGGCTGCTAGGAAATGCCTGGCTGCTGTAACAATGCCCTGCATGAGGAGTCTCTGTGCTAGAGTTTTATCATATGCAACTTTGATCTCAAGCACATAGCTCCTGGGAATAAAGGAACTTGCTTACTAGATAACTTCAATGTTTCACCAAGCTCTGTGACCCTGGACCTGCCCACTAATTAAATAATGGAGTTTCTTGAGAGCTATACAAAGCTCCTAACATTGCATATTGTAACTGTAGAGTGTAATTATGGAATAAGAAACCTTCCTGATACAATAAACAAAAATGTAGTTATGGCACTAATGACCTAATGTAACCTAGTGATATAAATAAAGGTGGCCACTTGGATGAGCAGCCATTTTTCCTGCTTCTGCATCTTGTCTCTGTGTCCTTTTTATTTTCCTTACATATGCCAAGTAGGGTGAAGTGATTCAGCTACTGCTAGGTCATGTAAGAAGAAGACAGAGAATTGATAGCTGAATACATCAAAAAATATGTCATTGGTGACTTTAAGGCGATAAATCTCTGGAGTGGTAAAAACAGAAGCCACTCAATATCCCTATCATGTAATGTCTTGCTGTAGTTGTTGGCCTCCAAAACTACAGAAACCTCAGTCATAGAAATGTCTAATTTTGTTGCATCTTTTGTTTTCTTTTAACATAGTAGTGAATAAGTTATTAAATTTGTGATATTTATTGTTTACTTTTCTATGAAATCTGATGTCACTCTTTGGCTTCTATACATTCCTGTCAGTATATAATTCAAAGGGCTATGAGTATTACAGATGAAACACTTGGTATAGTATGGGCCCATATTAAGAGTTCAATAAGTGATAGCTGTTATTGTTACTGATGATGATGATGCAACCACAAGGTTTCGGTTGCTTGCTTAGACTTATTGTGGTACTTAATAAAATGATCCTGGAAATATCATCACTTTGCATTCACTGAAGAAAAGACTGTGTAACACCTTCTTATCCTTGACCATTGCCATATCTAGTACTATGAATTCACACTTGAAACTCTTCTCTCTGAGTAACACAGACCATCAAAAGCTACCGAGACCTTCTAACCTGTGGCCATAGATGACAAAATTGCAAATATACTTTCTGTTGCTTCATCTGAATGGCTTTTTAGTTTTTTCCTCTGGGGATGCCAGCTCACTCTAGTCATCACTTATTTTGTTATTAGAATTATTATTACATATTAATTGTACAAATAGGTGGTGTTTTACCATGATGTTTTCATGCATGTATGCATTATTATTAATTGCAAACAACCACCCTGCTTCTAGTCTCAATTTTCCTTCCTCATCCCTCCTCCCTCTTAGCACCCTTCCCAGTCTCTAAAAGTCATTCACTTATTTAAAAGGGTCTGAGATGTCTTTGTCTAAAATCATCTGATAATTCTCCAGGTGTTAGGTAGTGTTTTGACTTTCAAGAATGCTTATACGGGAAACATGAAATAGAGAACTGGCATAACTATCAAAATAGCTGCAAGTTAAGTAGAGAAAGAAGGATGGGTAGATATTACCTAAGAATATAAACCTGGAGGAAGGCGAAATTGGATTCAACTTCTGATTTTTGTGATCTTGGGCAACATTCAACTAACACCTTCCAAGGGAATTCATTAGGAAAAATGTTGGCCAGTAAACCTGGCTTTATTTAAGTTCTCTATAGCAACTGAGAATACCACCTGTGTGTATTCCAAGTAGTATTTTAAAAGGGTAAGTTTAGGGAAGAGTTCTCAAGGGGCTATAGGGTTTGAGCTGAGTCACTTTGGGGTCAGTCTTACAAGGTAGAACTTTTGGTAAAAAATTTGGTCAGAGTCTATGAAAAACAGATTGGGTTGTTGGGTACAGCAAGATGAGGGCTTTCAATCAGTCCTGATCAATCAGTGGTGAGTTTTAATGAATAAGCTATTTTTATTGGTTTGGATTTATCTATACTGGAAGTAAATATTTTCTGAAGCAAGTAATTCAGGAATTATTGTCTGTTTTTGGTATCAGTTCAGTGTATGTTTAGTAAAGTTATGCCTGATCTGAGTGCTAGCTACCACATGATGATTTCACTTCTTAGAATTTATATTCTTTTTTTTCTTATTTGTTATTTTTAGTTATACTCTAGTGTCATGTATATTTTGACATATTTATACACATATGGAGTACATCTTATTTCTAATTAAGATGCCAGTCTTGTTATTGTAGATGATGTGGAGATTCTCTGTGGTGTATTCATGTGTGTACATAGGAAAGATGTGTCAGATTAATACTTTCACCTTAGTGTCTAACTTTGAAATACAACTTGAAATTAGTTAAATGAGATAAAGAATAGAAAGCATTTCAGTCTGGACAAAGATTAGTAAAACAGCATGTATATGTATATATATATATATATATATACACACACATACTCATGTCAGCACAATGAACCCCCAGTTCTGGAATCAGACCATCTAATTTCAAATCCTGAAACATCACTTGCTGGTCTGCCTCCTATAGTAGACAGCTTGCTTTCTTTAATTATCCTTCTATATCTCAATAGGAGTCTGAAATATTAAAAACACCTTTTTGATATCAGATCACTAATGATTTTACAAAAATGAACACTTATATAACTCACAGTATTAACAATTGTTGCTTTATTTACAGAATGACATGAATTACATAGCCTCTAGTGGACTTCTATTTAAAGATGGCAAAAAGCGAATTGACTACATCCTGGTTTACAGAAAGACGAATATACAATATGGCAAAAGAAACACATTTGAAAAGAACCTCAGAGCAGAAGGCTTGATGTTGGAGAAGGAGGTAGGTGCTTTGCCATTATTAACTTTGTGGTATAATATTATGGAACAGAAATGATCACCTGTGTTTAAGTATGGAGAAATATATCTTATGGCTTCATAAAATATATACTCATTTTCTCCTAATAGATGTATATATGTTCACATACATATTCACTTTTTGCTCTGTTTCTGCACAGTTTATTTTTAAAAGGGCACCACTATTTTTGCAATTAAAAAAAATGAATAATTAATGACTATGTCCATGCAAAATAGGAAATTCTATGGGGGGGGGGACTTAAAATGTTGAAAGAAAAGTGTTTGCCAAACTGTTAATGTCGGTATTTTGTTGGTGAAACTATGAGTACTATTATTCCCAATCCTTCTTTGTTTGATAGGTTCTTAAAATTTCTGTAAATGATTTATTTATTTTTCTATTGGAACAATAAAAGTATCAAGACAATTAGGAAAAAAAATGAAAAATAGGAGAAAAAAGCTGATGACCCTATAATCCAAAAATTACCTCATATTCTACTATAATCCAAAAAATATAATTATTGCCATTTTACTTAAATTTTATACGGTTTTAAATTCACATGTTTATTTATGTTAGATAAAGAAAAAAAACTTACTTTAAAAGGTTAAAAACATAGAAGTGTAAAGTATAAAAGCCAATGTTCATATTTGTCACCTTCTAAATCATACCCTTCTCTACTTTGGTGGCTTTTATGGATTGAATTTTTACTGATAATTCTCCTTAATATATTTTGCATATATAAACAACCATAAGTAAATACATTACACAAAATTAGTCATATTTATGATACATATATTATTGTGCTACTCAATACCATTGTTTAACATTATTTTATAAATATATTAATTCTCATTACCTTTAGAAATTTTTTACTTGGTGAATAGTTTTATAACTTCAGGATTTGGTCAGCTATTCTCCCATTGAAAGAAAAAAAATAAGTTAAATATTAGAGATATTCCTAAAAATATTTCAAAAAAATGGAATGGTTAAAAAAAATCCTGATCATTTCTTTGATTAAGTATCTAATTGACTTGCTAATAAAATTTAAGAATGTTAGTAAACACTTAGATATAAAACTCTGAAACTACCCCTACTTTTCTTCACAGAATATATATTGAAGTCAATTTTCTGAGAAATATACTTTAGAAAGTTATGAACTATATCTTGGGGTCACTCTGGAAAAACTAATCCATTTATATTTATTAAAACTCTTTTAATAGGATGTAAAATAACAAACTCACAATGACTTGGCTCTGAAAGGAAGGAATTATTCACACAGTGCCAAGTATTATAGAACAGGGTGAGTGAAATACTGACCATAGTGTTCTGTCGATCCTATTTCTTTTTTATACCTCTTCTGGGAATTTTAGCCCAGAATATCTCACTCACTGGTGAGTAATTAAATGAAGAACTACTTTTTGAAAAAAAAAAATCTCATGAATTCAGTCTTATGACAAGATTTTACTCATTAGATTCCTTTGTGCCTTCTGCTCCACACAGATAGAATCAATCCCTTCCTCATCTGCTGATAGAACAGTTTACAAGAGATTATTATAATACTGGTAATTATTTAACTCATGCACCTCCCGTTGTTTACTTATTCATTAAATAATTTTGTCAAACCTTGAACAAACTGCGGGGAATCATGAGTAAAATGGACCATATCACTACCTTTGATCTGTATGAAGTCAAATACAAAAACTGGATATTTGTAATAGATGTGGCCCACTGACTGTACTTAATGTTCTTGGCAGAAAATCCAGATTCTCTGAGTCTTCCTCTCCCTTATTTCTCCAACATGCTCCCAAGAATAATACTGGCTGTTACTCATCCACAAATGGTTCTGTTCTCCTCTAAAAGTGAAGTCTATTCATCCTTAAGCTCTGACTGTTCCATTGCTGCCAAAGGTGCTTGTGGTTATGTTGTTGCTCAGCAGAACAGTATCTATTTGTCTACTTTCATTCCCAGATAGACAGGTTTTTCATCCTGAGTTCCAGCATTACAGTTTTTCAATTCACATTCACTTTCTTAGATGTGTTTCCCATAGTTCAGTGAAGTCCCAGGACAGCTGGGTCAGGAGGTATATCCAAACCCAGATGCATATTTCATTAGAACCAGCCATGCCTATGAACAGTAGCCATTGTATTGAACACAAATTGCCAGTCTTGACTTCTTCTTTCTGTCCCCCAGGTGCCTCACTGTGAAGGAAAATGATTTTTTTTTTCCTGACAGTGTAATGGGTTAAGTTTACAGGTTTCTCCAGATTAGATATTATCAGTTTTGGAGCAGGGATGGGGATTTTTTTATATCTTTCCTTGAAAATGGTCTTAGACGCCTTATGAAATTTGGTCCAATTTCTCTAAGGAATTCTGCTTATGTTTCAAAGTTTAAAGAAAGGAATAAAGGAAGTAAAGAAGGAAAGAGAGATCTTGTCACACCCTTTATATCTGACTAATACTTGCATAACTAAGAGTCTATTTCAGTGACTTTGCACAGGATAGATGATGGGATCCAAGATGGCTTGAGTCTTAACTCATGTGATATAATGCTTAAAATTATCCTTTACTATAATACTTTTCATAATTTCAAATTGAAATAAATGATCTGAAAGAAAAGCAAATGGAATTAAAATGGCTTATAACAAAGGAAATAGTCTAGTCTGGAGGATAAGAGAAAATTATAGGAAGTTGAAGAAGTGAATTTTTTAAATCTTTGAATTGAGATTTGAAAAATTAATAGTGCCAAAGTAGGTGGAAAAAAAAAAACACCTAAATTAGGTGGGAAAAGGGCTTCCCTGGTCATGCATTAGAATCCAGCAATGATCCATCTCCTACAATAACATGCCTCAGTGGGAGTATCAGGATGGTCACAGGGGAAAGGTTATGGACATTTTTAAATTCCAGAGAGGAAGAGCACTAAACAAGCCTGGAAAGAATGGCTCTGTTTAAGTTAATCTGTTTTATATGTAAGCTTTTGACCATTATTTTAATAAATAAATGCAAAGCTACTAAATAATTTCAAACTCTAGTAGTATGAACACATTTGTTTTCAAAAAAGATAACAGATTACTGAAAAGAGGATGGATTTCAAGATAATGCACAAAGATCATGAGTAGCATTAAAGACAGAGATAAATGGATTTGATTGATATTTCAGTTAACATATACATATGTATGTGTTTATATATGTATGTATGTACTTGGTGGTTATTTGGATATGATAAGAATTGGTCTCAATGCTAACTTGAGTTAGTGACTCAAAACAATTTGTTGATTCATTCAAGGAGCATAAATGATGTCCCTATTGTATGCCACATTGAGACCAAATATAAACCAAGCTAAAAAATGAACCATGTTCTCATGGGAGAAAATAGACCATAAACAAATAAAAAACATGAATGAAACAATGTGGAGAGCTACCCGATAATTAAAACAAGATAGTGTTATATTACGAGTATGACTAGGTGCTCTGCTAGCTTGTGCGATCTGAAAGAAAGCAACCTGAATAAAAAGAAATCTATCCCATTATGGGAAGAGAAAAAGACTGAACTCTACCTGCAGAAGTCATATTCAGTAAAAAGTAGTGCTGCCTGGAAGAGAGCTGGTTTGTGGAAGAAGTAAGGCAGAGGCTAAGGGAATGAAAAGCTGGTAATTGAGGTGCCTTTGAGAAACATAAATAGAGATGTTTGAAGTTCTTGTCTAGAGCTGAAATGAGGAGTCTCACCTGAAAGCAAATGCTTTAGTTATTCGAATATGAATGGTAAGACACACCAGCTATTGGGACGAAAATCACTGAAGATAATGGGAAAGAATTTAGTTGTGGGATGAGCCTATAAAGGGTAGGAGAGGAGAATAGACACTTGAAAGAATTGAGGTAGGTAAAAGAGCAGGAGATGAGACATCAGAGGGGAGAGTTGGTAATTAGGGTAAAATACTGCTGAGAAGCCAATGAGACCAGAGAGTTGCCCATTCAAATGAAGGACAATGAGAAATATTTTCCTGAATAGAGACATTTGTGTGCCATATTAGCTAAAGTCCAAGAGGGAATAGGTAATGGAGAATAGATGCAGAGCAAATGTCACCAACTTGCTCAGCTGTGAGTGGGAGGAGGGAAACAATAGCATGGAGGGGGCGGGGCAGGCGGTGGATTCTGGTGAGATTTCATTTCCTTGTTTCTTTCACTCACCTTTAAATTTATTTCTTAGATGGGATGTTTAAATAAGGATGGGGAAGACCCAAGATAGAAGAAAGGGATGGAGGGAAACAGGAAAAAAAGGGTCAAGGGAGAAGGAAAGGAAAGCACAGAAGAAGATACACAAGGAGAAGAAGAGAGACTGAGGACACAGTTGACAGAGGAGATAAAATAACATTTTAAATGCCTTTGGGGGAGTGAGGGGGCTTTTCAAAGCACAGAATATCAAAGAAATTCAAGATTACTAAATTGCATTTTAAATTTAATTTTTACAAATATTTATTTGACATAGACATTTTTACAAAAGAGTTAACTTTATGTTTCTAATTCTAAAGATGACAACATTATCTTTTAAAATAATTAAATTTATTAGGAGTAGATTTATTATTCCCAGGATAGTATATTCAACCTACTACAGCAAATGCAAAAAAAACAAAACAAAACAAAAAAAAACATTTTTTCTAAAATAAGTATTCTTACATGATATCCTAGAAATACTGTCTGAAGGTTTTAAATCAATATTTATTAAAACTATTTGTATTATGCATCTATTGATGTTTAATAAATTACACAAATTGCATTTGTATGCTCAAAATTCTATGGGTCACCAGTTATCCCACACGTTGGTATTTATCCAAATGAACTAAAATCAGCATACTATAGTGATACAACTACTTTAATGTTTATAGCAGTACAATTCACAATAGTTAAATTATGGAATTAGCCCAGATGCCCAGCAATAGATGGATAACCAAAAAAAAAAAAAAAAAGTGGCATGTATGTACATTGAAGTATTAG